CAAACCTCGTAAATATATGAATAAAGCGTGAAATTGAGGATGATATTTTTAGGGGTTGGATGAGCTCAATATGGCGTCTATGGATATTTATATATATCAAGTACAAGTTTGCATTTTTTGTCAAGTATTGATATCATAATGGAAATTTGGGATCGCCTGATCGATGTTTGGCCATTTTTAATTTCTTGTTTCAGGAAGTGTAAATAAATTTTGAACGAGGAAGGTTGCAAATCAAAAATACATTAATAAAAGTTATTTAATTGCTTGTAGAGTTTATATTTTCTTGTTGTTTTCGTACCTCAAAAGGAAAAAACGGAACCCGTATTGGATCACATTGTTGTCCGTTTGTCTGTCTGTCAAGACCCTTTATTTCGGGAACGCGTGGAGTTATCGAATCAACTCATATCTACAGTCGTGTCGTTGAAGCTGTGAAAAAATCAAATTCTAAGATAATGTAAAATACACCACCGAGGCAGTCACTTATAAGACACAATGGCCTGGCTTGTTGGTCTAAAGTTAAACCGCCGTAAGCTTGGCCCTCCTGATGGTTTGCGGGACGCGGGGCGGGTGATGCGCTCGGCTATACATGACACGATGTACTAACTCGATATCTTCAAATTTATTTGTTTGAAATTTAATCTACACACGATTTAATAAAAATCGAATTTATTTCCATGTATTATAATATCAGTGTATTGTAAGTTTTTATGATTAATTGTAAAATTTAATACTGTAAAATAATTTTAATAAAATCACCTTATCTTCATCATGTAAATTATATTCAGATACAATTAAAAAAATTAAGTAAAATAATAAATATTCTTTAGTAGAACTTTAACAGTAGAACCTCTGTAAGCCGAACTTCAAGTTTTTAAATCTTTTTGTGACGCAGTCGGCAGATTATCCATGTTGCAAAATAATACCGTGTGTAGCAGTCTTAAGAAAAATAACACGTACAACCATGCTGTCACGTCAGTCACTGCCGGCGGACAGCGACGCACTAGCTAATTGGTTGAATGCACCCCCGCCCCGCGTCCCCCAAACCATCAGGAGGGCCAAGCTTACGGCAGTTTAACTATAGTGGTTAGTGACTATGACTGCTACGCCAGAGGTCGTGGGTTCGATTCCCACCCAGGACAAATAATTGTGTGATGAGCGCGGTCATTTGTTCTGTGTCTGGGTATACTATGTCTATAATATGTATGTATTTAGAAATATATGTGTATGTCTATCAGCAGTCTGGTTACCATAGTACAAACTCTGCCTAGTTGGGGATCAGACGGCCGTGTGTGAAATGTGTGAAAATATTATTTATTTATTTATTTAAACAAGAATATAAGTAATTATAGGTTTTGGAAACTGAATTTCGGAAAACCTCGAAAAAACTGCGAGACTCGATTCCTGAATTATTTATTAGTACTACCTACAAATGTGTACGGAAACTTATGTGGGCGAGTCCGACTTGCACTGGCCCGGATTTTTTATTTTATAGTAATGTACTTTCAAGTGTGATAACTTTTACTTTGTAATATAATCTTGAAGTCATTGTTGTACTATGTACATATTTTCCTCACTGTAAGTCATATCAGTGTTAGTTTACTAACGGGAATAACTATTTCAGGAATGACTGGTTAGTCTCTGATCTGATAGGGATTCTTTATCTTAGAGTCTTACAAACTGTTTTTTCTATCACCCAAAATATAAACGTCAGTAAAACCGTATGTTCTTAATTAACGGTAACACTTTTTATAAGAAACACATCAAAACAAATATTTTTAGAATTTAAGTCCCTCTTAAAATTAAGAGCTTACTCTAAAACTAAGATACACGTAATGGTGAGCTCGCTTGGCAGATTAGAGATAGCACCTAACTGCTATTACTTAGGATTTCCGACGGTTTACGCTCCAGAGGGAAATCCTTAACTTGATGTAATATTTATAAAATAATGTTTGCAGCCATATTTAATCATAAACTCGATTTCATTACGTCATATTAATTATCAATTACAGATTAAGTAGAAATAAATAAATAATTAAGATATTAATATTTGAATTATTTATTTTATTACTTCATTGTTTAAGCTAGGCCAGCGTGGTATAGTAGGCCAAAACCTCCTTTCTAAGGAGAGGCCTATGTCCAGCAGTGGACTGTTATAGGCTGTTGTTGATGATGACCTAACCAGCACAGCCGTCCACTTGTAGCTGATAGGACACTCGTATCTTCCAACCCCCCTCAGGATACTGCTGCGACTGCCGCACAGTCTGTTCATAATTCTATTAATACACACGGTGCTCCTTGAACCGTGCTAAACATTCGAGATTCAAAATTTCTGTTTTTTCTTCGTTTATTATAAGCTTCTAAACAAACAAGGCTCAGCTTAAATCTCTTTGGATTATATTGCTTGGGAGATTATTAAAAATATTGGATTTCCAAACAGTGACTACCTCGCCTGCGGTACCTGGCCCGTTCCCGGGCCTGGCGGGCCGGGAGAGTCCTAAACCTCTCCCGGTCCCGCTCCGCCGTCTCCTTCGCGAGCATAACTTGCTCGCAGAAGGAGACGGCAGAGTTCCACGCACTCTCGCTCCGCACGATAGCCGCAATCAGGCTATCGAGCGAGAGAACTCCCACTCCGATGGCCGCCACGAGGTCTCGCCTCTGCTCAACCCACGCCGGGCATTCTGCCAGTGTGTGGAGAGCCGTGTCCGCGGTCTGGCCATCGCAGTGGCACTCAGGCGTTGGCTCCTTGCGGAAGACGTGGATACCCTGAACATAATTATACTGTCGAAATGCGAATGTCAAAGTGTATGGGTGCAGTGACTAGAGTGGACATGGTGAGGATCGAATGCATTAAGGGGAGCCTGAAAGTAATCTCGGTGAATTAAAAATTGAACAAAAGATTATCCTAGTGTACATGTTCATGTGATGCGGCAAGATAAGTAAAATCATTATCATCATCATCAACAGCTTATAACAGTCCACTGCTGGACAAAGGCCTCTCCTTAGAAAGGAGGTTTTGGCCTACTATACCACGCTGGCCAGTGTGATGTAAATGCGTATTGGTAGTTTTATCATTGTCTTCCTATTTACAGCGTATATTTTTAGGTACCCAATCTCTTTCTGGTGCAGATATCTGTTGATAGACGTATCCAAAAAATAGTCGCCATGTTGTTCTGAGTGTATGTAATATTGCTTTGAAAAACTTACGCAGTGAAAAGAAACTTGTTTCATTTTAACTTGGAAAGACCTGCCATTTTATTTTTCTTTGTGACAGTATTTGGGTTAGAATTTCTTATAATTTATTTCGTAGACTTGTTTTAAACAACTAGAGTTTTGTGACATCTCTGTATTTACATCTAGTTTTATTTTAAGACCTTGTTTAAGAACTTTGAGGGGTTCGTGGCTTAGTGGTAACCGAAGTAGGTTGGCACATTGCCAAGTTAAGCAATCCTAGCCAGGTCAGTCTATGGATAGGTGTCCATTTTTAACACATTGAAATTTTTATTTTAACCCTCCGTGCCTCGGAGAACACGTTCAGCTATCGGTCCCGTCCGTTGGTTGCCATGCGAATATCTGTGGAAATTGTTACGTGTAGTTCAAGCCCTAAAGTCCAACAACAGTCTATGTACAACTTTGAGATCGCCAAGTACTTGTGTTGTCGAGGCGTGTCTGATGGCAGTCACGCCTCGAAGTAGACTTAAAGCCGACCCCAACCTAGTTTGGTGGTGGATGACTGTTTGTTACAAATTTCTATTCTGCGCTGGTATTAAAACAAGTACATAAAAAGTGTTAATGATTATTCTCATGTACAAAAGAGAAATTTAATTAACTCTATGATTACTCTGTGTAGAATTATACGAAATATTTACTTGCGTTAAAGAATCTTATAATTTTATGACATTATAATATGCACTCATGTTTGTATTTTAGAAGGGGTTACGCAGAAGCGTATTTAACAACCACTTTTTGTGGTTACCACTACTCATAGGAGTAGGTTGCACTAACGTAATAGCTGGCAAACCTATCATGCCCAGGTTTCATGGTATAGGCCAAATGGGTAAGGCTCACCTGATTGTGAGTGAGTACCAGCGCTCAGGGACACCGGCAACTTAGTGTGAAAAGAATGCGTTCACATCATCACATCAACAGCCTTTAATAGTCCTCTGCTGGACATAGGCCTCTCCTTAGAATGGAGGTTTTGGCCTACAATAATATGCTGGCCAGACGAGTTGGTATAAGGTTTGTGTCAAGTTTTCCTTCTCTTTGCAGTGCTGTTGCTTTGCATAGTTTGCTCCCTTAGTCGGCTCTTAAAACATCTACGGGATGAAAAGGGGTGGTGATACTTCGTGTTCTTAATCCATCACCACACGGAGAACGAGAGATAGAATGCGCTTCCACGCAAGTCCCCACCGCCCAGAATCAGGGTGAGGGGGTGTCAGCTCCGGTATCCTCAGTCAATAAAAAATAGCTAATAGTTTATATTTTTTGCCGCTCAGCTACATCAATATTCTTTATTTATAGAGTTCATTTCAACAGACGATCTGTAATGTATATTTGTTCATTCATAATATATTATTGTTTATATTTCATCTACGACCCGATTTCGAAGTTAATTTAGAGTCGCACCAAAATGCCTAGGAACTAAAAAAAATCATAGTCTACTAGTTTAGAAATGTTCAGACAATACTTGGCCTTCAATACAGTGTACCTTTGCCCGTCTTTTCAATCACGTTGATGTAGATTTTCGATTCACAAGAATAATAATATTTAAGATTTTATGTTCCACTATAGATAAGAAAAGATCAAAGACGGACTCATTCCACCGTCACGCTGACAGACAATTTTGTGGGACGACCCCAAAAAGAATTCTTTCCATCATTCGGGCATCATAGCTCAGATGTCCATGTTTAATATCAACTAACAAAAAAAATACCGCAATCCCATCCAGAATATCAGTATAGATATTTCAATGGTTGGTAAAATACTCATATTATCAATTACAGGTCGAAAATACAAGAAGAAGAAGGTGATGCAAATGATCATCCCTTTGCTCTTTGGCATGAAGTCTGCAGGAGTAGTAATGTTCGCGATGGCTGTGGTTACTGTCCTGACTCTCAAGGCGTTCTTAGCAAGCAAGCTGGCTTTGTTCGTCACCGCTGGCATGGCCATTAAAAAGTTATATGAGACTTATGGAACCGGGTGAGTAAACAAACGGGGAATACATATTTGTAGGAAGTACAAAACTTTGTATGCCAAGGAGAGGACAAAAGGATTATAAACTTAGATATGTTATTACATTGTTAATCCAAAAGTACAGCTACTGATGTTCTATTAACATTAAAAGTATCCAATTAAAGACAATCAACTTAAAAAAATGGTTTAGATTTAACATTATTCTTTGCTAGAGAATCTCTTTAAAAACATTTTCTCTTCTGATGATCTTCCCTAGATAGTAACAAATAATTTGATTATATTCCGCAATGTGATATTATATTGCGTCTTACGTTTTTTTTAATATTTCAAAGTAATAGTTATTTCTATCGTCCTTGAATCGGTTTAGGTCATCATGTTTGATGGTCCATGGCCCAACGTTTGCTGACGGAAAACTTGATATAAATTGAGCATCATGTTAAATATTCTTGCGCGATGCAGAATCATTTAAACATACTCTCTCTCTATGATTTTGATACATGTAAATGTCACCATAATTTTCAAATAAAATAAAAAATAAGAAGGTTAGCAAAACTAAAAAAAAACGCTTTTTAATGGCGAACCAAATTAAAAATTTACTACAAGTTTCACCAACCAAACTAATTTTTGGACCATCAGACCATAAATAACAAGCCCACTCTGATTTATGCTTTAAAACCATTGGAATTAAATGAGTTTAAACTCGAAGAATTAGGACTCATTGTAATTTAAGAGTTTTTCTATCCAGCTCTTGATACCATAAACCCAAATTATAGGAATATCTACACGACAATTACAAGTATCAGTAGTTTATCACCAGGTAAAAACTAATGAGACTTGTAATAGATTAATTAGGAATATTTCCATTTTTTCCTCCCAACTTAGATTGCACGGATGGCGTAGTGATTTAAGCGGTCGCCACGCCACTTATTACTACGGCGAGTGTTGTGGGTTAAACCCCTATTAGGACGACACTTTGTGTGATCTACAAATTGATGTTCTGAATCTGGGTGTCCTTTGAGTCCGTTTCATGTATGTTTGGAAAGTCCACCGCGACACAGGATATATTCCTAATGCGGGAGTTGTATTTTATGAATAAACAACGATATCAGTAGTTAGTATGCCATAATAACTACAGCAGTAGTTAGGTAGTTACGAGTAACGCTAAAAACCCTTTTAAAGAGGTGCAAAGCATGATTACGTTAACAGTTATGGGAGAAAAAAATTGAAATATTATCTAATTAATAGACGACATGGTTCCGAAATGTTCAATTGATATTGTTTCTAAATATACTAGCAGACACTACACGTGGAAGGCTAGACGTCGTTGAAACTTGTATTATAAGAAAATAGATTAAATTCTGAATTGGTACAAGTGTCTGGAACCTTCGTGTAATGTATCTTGGCTTCATCTTGGCATACAAAAGTTTATTAGAGGTTATTCTGAAATCTATACTAATATTAAAAATGAGAAAGTGTGACTGTCTGTCTGTCTGTTCTTTTTCTTCTTTTCACGCTTAAACCGATTTACCGATCTAGATGGATGGATGGAGATGGGAAAGGACATAGAGTTGTTATCGAAGAAATCGTCAAGGGGATAGAAGATTGTATGGGGAATCAATAACCGCTGAACCGGTTTAAATGAAATTTGGAATCGAGATAGTTTGATTCTGAAAGAAGGACATATTCTACTATTTATTGCGATGACCCATTTACACGCGGGCGGAACTGGAGGCAAAAGATAATCATTAATATGGTTTTCTTTCCTTCTTTGTTGTTCATCGTTTTTATCCATGGCAGAGCCACGATTTGGCATAAATTTGTCGGCTCAAACGGAGTGATACCTTATTAGATTCTTTCTTTAAAGAAGGTTATCAGACCCACAACCCCTGTTTCTGGGGGCACTCAAAGGACTGAAATACTGTTGTAACTCTTGAGTTGCAGTTATCCGTGGGCGGTGGTAATCACTTACCATGATGAGGTGAACCGTCTGCGCGTTGCTCCCCCCCCCTATATCATAAAAAATGATGCATTCATCATCATCATCAACAGCCTATCGCAGTAAACTGCTGGACACAGGCCTCTCCCATTGCACGCCAGTTAGATCGATTTTGGGTTTCAAAATAAATGATGCATCACAAAACAAACATTTCTTTACTATCTCTATCTCATCTGTATTCTTCTACTTGACTCTGCTCTTGCTCTCTCTGAATAGTAAGCCAATTTGATTTTTATATACTACGCTAAAGGTATAATTTTGAATGAAGTAATGAATTTTTATTTCTACAATGATTTCAGAATAGCTTTGCAATAATTAAAAATAATGTCAATAAATCAAAATATGATACCTAAATGACATTAACAGTTCCAAAGGAAAAGTTTTTAAGTTTATTTTTTACGAACTCATTTCTTTTTAAAAAAACTTTGCATCAAAGTTGATTTCCTAATAACAGTCGATGTCACTTAGGACGTTTATATTTTTATCATTCACACAATTTGTATTCAAAACCAAAATTGAATTTATTTTACGGATCATTACGCTATTTAAATTTCAGCGCTTGCCTGTTCGATCGAATGACTCGTTTCAATATAGGCGTAAATAATCCGGAAAATATATTCAAAGTCACTCTTGTATTGCAAAAAAAACTGTGTTTATAATAGAATTACTGTCCATACATCCCACTGAGCATGACGAAATTGACTGACGGTTTAATGACACGCACAATATTGAATCAGTACATAAAGTCAGTTCCACTTAACCTGTACAAATCCCACCAACGGTATTTGAGTCTCTTTTTTAAGACTAGACTAGTAAGGTATGAAAATTATTATTTGTCATCAGACAAGTGAGTAATTAGGTTTAAAGAACTTTATTAATACTTAAGAACATTACAGTTCACTTAGCGAATATAATTTAATAATAAACAAAGTAATAACAAGGAACAGCGATCGTAGGTTTCTAAATCAATGACTCAAAAAATTTAAGAAAAGAGATTGCATTGTCTTATTTACTTACACGAAATTATATTTTCTATTGTTTTGTATTTGTAAGGAGTCCGTTATGGTTAATCACTACAGTTAGCATTAGATTGCACCAAATAAATCAAAATTAGCTTCATCAACCGCCTTTTATAGTCCACTGCTGGACATAGGCCTCTCCGAAGAAAGGAGGTTTTGGCCTACTATACCTAGCTGGCCAGACGGGTTGGTACAGGGTTTGTGTCAAGTTTTCCTTCTTTTTGCAGTGCTGGTGTGCTGCGTAGTTTGCTCCCTTAGTCGGCTCTTACTTATGCCTTACTAAAGTACTTATACCTGTGTAACTTTGAAACAGAAAACCTGCTCTTACAACTTAACATGCTCCAACTTCAAAAGCGTAGCAACTTTCTGACTGCTAAGTTACTCATCAAATTCAAATTTCTAAGTTATTGAGTATAATGTATTCCATAAATATACTTAACTTGGTTTTAAGTGTTTGCCTTGCTTTACCTAACATGGAAATATAAATATTAAAAGAGTCATAAGATAGTCTAGTAATTTAAATATTGAAAATGTTTTGAAGATATAAACGGGTTTTAAAGTAACGCTGATGACGTCACTGTGAAGTGTAGCGTATCCACCCCAAAATGAAGTAAAAGTTTGAATGCCACTTAGATAATATAATAATAATATTTTCACACATCTCACACACAGCTCTTTGATCCCAAACTAAGCATAGCTTGTGCTATGGTAACCAGACTGTTGATAAACATACTTATATATTACTAAATACATACATATTATACATAAATTACACCCAGACACAGAACAAATAATCGTGCTCACCACGAAATCGACTGCACGGATGGCGTTGTGGTTTAAGCGGCCACCACGCTGCAGCTTCCTACTACGTAGAATGTTGTGGGTTCGAACCCCACATGGGTTGACACTTTGTGTGATCTACAAATTGTCGTTCTGAGGCTGGGTGTTCATTGTCTCCGTTTCATGTATGTTTGTAAAGCCCCCAGGCACAGGGTATATTCCTAGTGCGGGAGTTGTCTTTTATAAAAAAAAAAAAGACCTGGGTGGGAATCGAACCCACAACTTCCGGCTTAGCAGTCAGGGTCACTAACCACTAGACCAACAGGCCCGTCGTAAAAGCCTTTAGGGATTTAATGTGTTTTTTTTTATTATTACATTAAAAGGTAAGGTAGACTAATAGAGAAGTTAGGAACTGCATATCGATCACACGTCTGGATTGAAGAATAAAAACAATAGCTCGAAAAGATCAGGATCACGTGGATGTAATGTCCCCAATCCCAAAATTCAGAAGTGGAACCTACTTTGTGTATTGATATAGGCTATTGTTTTAATGTTATGGTTCATTTACATAGATTTATCTTTAATTAGAAATATGCTATATGAGTAATGAACTCAAGTTTATACTGTAAATTTTTGTGAAATTCATTCCTGACTTAAAACTAACAATGTAAATGAACCATTTATGTTAAACGGTATGTCATCCTTTGTACAGTTTTGACTAATAACTGACCAATGACTTTGACTGAATCACTAGTCTTAATCTCTAAGTACTGCTAGTTCATTAGTGAGTTATATTATTTTATAACTAAAATGGCTTTGCACTTTAATATTTACACCTCACCCCTAAACAGTATGTTGTAGATTTGTACAGACTTGACAAGAAATTGACTGAAATGACTAGTACAGAAAAAAATACGAAGATGAACGAGATACGGCTAAATAAGAAAATGTGAAAAGATTTATGGTTTTATTTAATAATTAAAAATAATAAAAAAAAAAATGACTTTACGGACTTAGATAAACGAAAAACTGAAACGGAGTGCAGAATGTACTTTATGAGAATATTGTTAATTATTATTAATTAATTAAGAATGTTAACATAAGAAAATAAGAATAGACATAACTAGAAATAGTTGTAAACCAGTTGAATAAGAAAAACTTGTTAATCATCAAAAAAACGTGGACGATTTGAAGATGTCTGACTCTACTGACGTGACATGACAAGAGGACAATTATGTCTTAATAATTACATGACTTGACATAATATTGAAGTAGATAAATTTGCCTTTCAGACTAGTCAGGTGAGTCAACACCTTCCTAACCAGTTAAAAATTATCTATTCCAGCGTCGGTTTACAAAACCAGCCATATCTTTACTCGCAATATCCGATCGATTTTCCGAGCGCCTCCTCGCACGCATACTCCGCAAGTGGAGTGAGCCCACAATTCGCGTCAGCGGACATGTATAGCCCAACGGCAATGGGTGCCCAAGCACAAGGCAACGAAATAATGCACCAAAGCGACGTAATCGCTCAGCAGTCGCAACAGGCGCCTACCTTACTTGTAAACTCAACAAGAGCAGCAGATAGATGGGACGGTAAGTCAAAACTGCAAAAATTTATCGAACCACTCATCGAGGGCGTCAGAAATATTTTAGATCCAATTGCCAATGTTTTCTACGGTGCCATTCCAACCACAGTACGAGGACTCAACTCCAAAGTATCAACAACAAAGAGTAGAGATTCAGATTTTGATCTGGATGAATTAGAAATAGTTAAAAAACCAAGACAGGTTCTGATTCCTCAACCTAGAAACATTGCTCAAAGAAAAATGAACTTGAGAAAAAATCGGTATAGGCCAAAAAAGTATACCGAGTTAAAAATAAACTTAGATAGATTGAAAGATAATAAAGATTTGTATGATTATATAAAAACGAAAAAATACAAATATAACTATCCTAATACATATTTTTATCCTAGAGTTAAGCATTTTGTGAATCCTAACAATTTCGTTAAGCCTAATATTAGTACTAGACTCACACCTTACATGAGAGACGCTTTAAATATAACTTCAACAGTAACGCCAATAATAACTACGGATACTGAATGGAAGCCCATGGTTTCTTTTAATAATACAGTTCCTAAAAATAGTATGAAGAAGAGGAAAAGAAAATTTCGTAAGAGGCAAAATAAAAGAGGGAGAAAGAGACACAATAGACCCAAGAGAAGCACTGATATTAATATCAGTTACAGCAATGAAAACGCAAGGTCTTTTAAAAAAACATCTAGTAGCAGTCGTTTTTTTTTAAGTTTTCTTGACATTTTATTAACAGACAATCCAATAAGTCACTTTTTTGGTCAGTCAAGTAAAAGTACTAATTCTAAAGTTGATAATATATTTAATTCTAAAACACCAGTTTATTATAGTGTTGCTTATAATGTTTTAATGATGAGTATAGATGTTATACAAGGGCTTTTTGAGATAAATGAAGCTATTAAAGAAAATTATATAAGCGGGAATAAAAGAAACAAAGAAAAAGCGAAAAAGAAGAAGTAATCAGATATAAAAGACGCTTTGAACTGTACGCAAATTAATAATGAAATAGAGGAATCCCCAATATCATATTTTAAGGTTATATAAAATACACAAGAGTAGAGACAACAAGTAACCCTGCATTTATTTTTTTGTAATAAATTTTACGTTTAAGCTTGGTGGTGGTTTTTTCAGCATGTATCATTGTATTGAACCACAGACATTTATGTAGATTAAATGGGTGTTGTCAATATCAATAAAAATTGATTCATGGAAACTGAATTTAGCTCGAAACGAAAATTATGTATTGAAATGTAATAATTTGTTATGCTTTTGAGCTATTTTCAGTTTGGTCTCAGTTTATTTATTTAATGTCTATTGTGAACACTAATAATGATATTCATTTTCCAAAAACTGAGTATTGATTTTATTGTAAAAATATGATTTGAATTGATATTTACATTGTAAATTAAAATAATCATTATGTTATAGGATTCCGGAGACGTCCAATGTTTTATGGACAATCGCGCGGTACCTCAGAGTCCTTTTCGGCATTCCGGCGCCGCCGTTGAATCCTCAGCAGACTATGACCATGCCCATGTTTGTCATGCCACAGATGTATACTTCCCCAATCACCATGCCGCCGTCTCAATAAACAAAATTGGACAAAGGGTCAAGTGGTGCTTTATAAAGCCAAGCTAAATGCCAGCTGCCACGTAACTTGATCCCGGTTGTTGTGATAATCGTGGCAGTCTGGCATTTAGCTTAACGTGAATGGTAATGTTTTAATTTCCTGGACTGTTTGATCTTCCTTTATTTGCTTAAACTTGACATATGTCCAGAATTTAAGACATTGCAGTTTTCCACCTCTAAGACTGATTACTTTTTGAAATGCGCGAGCTCGTCGACTTTATTTTAGTTTTCGAATTTAATGTAATTTATTCCATTAAGTGTAAGATTTATTTATTCGACACTTAGTTAATAAAATAATGTAAGCGAAGAAATGTGTTTAATTTAACGCTATGAACCCTATTTTATTCTCTAAAACCTAATATCTAGAACTGGTCGCGCCTTCTTGTGATTATTCAGCTGGCTCGTCACTAGTTTTTATCTGATAATATTTCATTTATATTCACATTATTTAACTTAGCAAGCGATGACCTGTAGTTTCCATTGACAAATATTTCATTTTTATGAAAGTATCCTAAATATTTTACATTAGTAAACTAAACGCTTTGAAGGTATTGTATCCATTACATTAATTAAGTTACCCAAAATATCAACGAATGTCGTCTCCTTTGATTTATGAAAATTCCTAATAGTAAACTTTGTAACGTATATTAAAATAGTTATTTAAACTGAAAACTGTTTTAGAGTTTAGTTCAGATGTAAAGTATTTTATACCATTACAATAAAATTGCCTACCAAAACTTAGAATACAAATCCTTTATTTATTAACATATAGCGGTAGTTCACAAAGTCACTTCACACAAAAAATTCACTTACATATGTATATCACCTAATACATTCGGAGTATTCTGTATTCAGGCGTTCGAATTATTCAGAGTAAGGTAAGTCAATAATATTCATGATACGGTGTCAGAGAGGATATTACACATTTTACAGAAAGTTTTAGTGTAATTAAAAGCTACACGTTTCGGCGTATTTATTTATGATTATATAAAAAATATTGAGTTATGATATGGGACGGCTTTACTAAAGAATTAAATTTATTTTAAGTTTGTTTTCGGAAGGTGGTAAAATCAATATTGTAAGCGGATTCTTAACGAAAATGCAAACTAAAATAAACTTTTAATTACGCTTTTTAGTTTATATCATTACAAGTAAAGCTTATAAAATCATGTTTAAAAGACCATGGCTAAAGCGCGCTACTATCATGGGGCAACGTAGTGAGTCATAGTTTTCTTTCTAAATTAATATACGTTTCTCCGAAAGTACAAAGGAAAAACGAATTCAAAAGAATGGTACATTCAAAAAATGACTATGAATATAGCAGTACGTAGTTAAGATTCTAATAGCGGCTTGTGGTTTGAATATACACCGACCTACTTAATTATATCATGCAAAACTAACCATTGGACTGCGGAAACACGAAGTATTAATTAATTTGTAGTGTACGTGTATCTCTGTAGGTGAATAAGTTTACGTGAATCCCCCATCCGGGACCATATCGTGTTTGAAGGTATATCATGTTTGACGGGCCTGTTGGTCTAGTGGTTAGTGACCCTGACTGCTAAGCCGGTCGTGTGTTCGATTCCCCCTCAGGATAAATAGTTGTGCGATAAGCACGATGATTTATTCTGTTTCTGGGTGTAATTCATCTATGATATGTATGTATATAAGTATGTTTATCAGCAGTCTAGTTACCATAGCACAGGCTCTGCCTAGTTTGGAATCAGACGGCCGTGTGTGGGATGTGTAAAGTTATTATTATAATTATATTTAGCAGTATAACACTACTCATTAAAGGCGAATAGTGATAATGTGTTCGAACAAACTTAAAGTAGTTTAGCTTAGCTAATTGCTCGTTTGTTAGGAGTGTATTCGAAGGAAGGCTTCGAATATAATAATTTCAACAGAATAGTTTTGTATCTAGCGTGGGCCCCTTGTCAAGGAGTGAAACGTCCTTTCCGTCCAGGCACCGCACTGGATTGGCATTGCTTCCAACGATTTTGGCGAAGTAAAGTATGCGTTGAATTAATAGACAGTATTGCCGTTGCGATGCGTATTGCGGGGATATTTACAACAGGCACTGAGATATATCAAAAAAATTGTTTCAGTTTTGGACAGGGCGTGGAAGCAGTGGCCTCCACAAAGAGCTTATAAATGTAAAGGAAGCGAACAAGGCGCTATCGAACACGGTTGGCAGAGAGGAAAAGAAGATTGTTTTGGTCTTGCGTCTCTCTCTGCTCTATTTATATTATCTCTATAGATCTTCTAGACTAATGCGGTCACTAGAGGATATAAATCATCATATCATCAAGAAAACTTATTTGTCATCTCAGCTATCCTTAATGTCTGAAAATCACCCTGATGCCGCATCTACGTAATATAAATATCTGATTTAGTCATTTACTCCGTCTCAATCAATATTTGAAGAATACAGGATATCCTTCCACATCAGCTGTCCACCGATAAGCCACAATACTAAAAGTCCTTTTTAATTTGTCACTTATTGTTGAGACTAATACTACCGTTATTTTCACCGTTGTAGTTCCTATACACATGGAACAGTAAAAGTGACTTACGAAAACACCTAGATTCTTCATGGAACACATATAATTTATGACTGCACGGATGGCGTAGTGTTTTAAGCGGTCGCCACGACGCTTCCTATTACGCCGAGTGTTGTGGGTTCAAACCCCACATGGGACGACACTTTGTGTGATCCACAAATTGTTGTTCTGAGTCTGGGTGTTCTTTGTGTACGTTTCATGTATGTTTGTAAAGTCCCCCACGACACAGGATATATTCCTAATGCGGGCGTTGTCTTTTTTTACAATTACAATAAACAACATATAATTTAATAATCACTAATATTTTGTTGGCTAGAATTATTCAACAATCTTCTCCAGGTTTTTCGCCAGTTCTCCCAGTTGTAATATAATTTCGAATCCGTGAATACTTCATATGTTACGTCTTTATCCTGTAAAAAAATAATGTATTGAGAAGAAGAGAACTTGTAGAAGAAGAAAGAAGTATTAAAAATGGGGAAATCGTAAGTACATTAGAAGAGAAAGGTAGGTAAAAATTAAGGGTCATAAATGAAAATTGCTGATACAAATAGATTGATAAGCTATTACTTGTTGATTGATTATTCCACCAACCACCAACCCGTCTGGCCAGCGTGGTATAGTAGGCCAAAACCTCCTTTCTATGGAGAGGCCTATGTCCAGCAGTGGACTGTTAAAGTCTGTTGATGATGTTGATTGATTTGACTGGGCTAGCTTCCATTAATGCAGTTGCCATACGGACGGGTACTCTAGGTGGACCTAACTACCTAACCTAAATTGACCTCTGCCGGGCCATCCGAAGCGTCTTACGTAATGATTTTTTCATAAAAACACATTTTTACAGTTCTTTCAGTACTTTCAGTGCATCTACCGTGTTTTAGCTCTGCATCACCGTAATCACCGCATTCTTTGCCACATTGGTGTGTGCGTTAATAATTTAAAAGATGTTAATAAATTATAAATAAAACTAAAAGACGCTTGGTCCTTCTCGGGAACGCTCTCTCTCTGGAAATCAGGATAGCATCCAGCCGCCTCTCAATCAAGACGAAAGTTTGACCTCACGTTTTACCCGAGCAGATTCATCACATTCTTAGTTATTATTTTTATATATTATTATTTGTGTATTTATGTTTGTATGTAACTCAGCAAGTATTTATGTATATTAATCCCACTGTTTCTGTCCACCTTCTCAACTATTACTTTCTCTTTAAAAAAATGACTTTATACCTAGTGCACCTAGTCAGACATTTCCCAACAACCCAAAGATAGACTGGGAGAAAAATTTGTGAGGCATAAAGTCCGCCAATGTACAATTGAAATTTATGCATAAAGTATTAAGATAAAATAAATAAAATAAAAATTAGTTAACCAAACTAAAAAGTAGTATTCGATTGTAATTAAGCTTAGAGCATTTTTAACTACATATATTATTATTAGTATAACTTGCTATGTATTTATTAATTTCTAATTGATGTGATGTATCTCGAACGTTTACTTATAATTTTACAGATACATTACCTTGTGTCTGCTGCTATCTATATATAGTAGCCCAGTCCGTGTGACGGACGGTGACGGATTAAGAATACAAATTGTCACCACCCCAATTCATCCCGTGGGTGTCGTAAGAGCCGACTAAGGGAGCAAACTAAGCAGGACAACAGCACTGCAAAGAGAAGGAAAACTTGAAACAAACCCTATACCAACCCGTCTGGCCAGCGTGGTATAGTAGGCCAAAACCTCCTCTCTAAGGAGCAGTCGACTAGTATAGGCTGTTGATAATGTAAAAACAACCCAATAAATAAATCTACAGCCGCCACTCTTGTATTTAATATGACCAGATAGTTACGATAATGATTAATAAATTACAGCACTGTCTTGTTGTCTGTTATTTTAACATTAACATTAAAATATATTTAACTAAAATAAGATAAAAAGTTAAGAATCTGATAACTTAATCTTACGGTTATTTTTTAACAGGTTCAGGTTTGAATTTATAACTCTTTTATTTTGAGTCTAGAATTTACGGTGGTGACGGATTAAGAATACAGAGTGTCACCACCCCTATTCATACCGAGGGTGTCGTAAGAGCCGACTAAGGGAGTAAACTACGTAGAACAACCGCAAAGAGAAGAAAAACTTGAAACAAACCCTATACCAACCCGTCTGGCCAGCATGGCATAGTACGCCAAAACCTCATTTCTGAACAAAGGCCTATGTCCAGCAGTGGACTAGTAGAGGCTGTTGATGATGATGAATTTAGAGAGCCCTCTAAAATAAGATTTCCATAATAAAATATATAATAAGATGGATAAAATTCAAATGCGATTAATATTTTGCCAAATATGTTACTTATTAATAGGTATCACAATGTATTCAATAAGTCGTCTTGACACGTACGGCC